TGGATGGATGGATGGATGGATGGATGGATGGATGGATGGATGGATGGATGGATGGATGGATGGATGGATGAATGGATGGATGGATGGATGGAAGACCAGGTGGGCAGGGCGGTGAGCGGGCAAATAAGCGGGTGGACAGATGGATGGGTAGATCAATGGATGGGTGGATGCACTGATAGAACGATAAATGTGTTGATATATTATGAACCATTGCAGTATGTTGAGTACCTTTTTCAGACAGGTTAGAGACGTCTCCATTTTACGTGCACGTAAGTCACATTTACACCACAACATACTCCACCTACTGTAAGCAACATCAACGACTTCACAGAGAGATATAGAGAGAGGGGGGAGATAGAGATAGATAGATAGATAGATAGATAGAGAGAGAGCGAGAGAGAGAGATAGATAGAGCAGAGAGCAGAGAGAGGAAGACAGGAGAGAGAGAGAGAGAGAGAGAGAAAAAGACAGACAGACAGACAGACAGAGAGAGATGGCAGCATACCTCGGTGATCGGCCGCGCCGCCTCTATGCTTAACCGGGCTGGTAGGCATCATAGACTGACGCCGTGTCCTCGACGGGGACATCACAGGAGACGTCTGGGTCTGTGCGCCGATGCTCGTCACCTGCTGTCTGCGCCGATACACCAAGTCCTCCAGGTGTTCTGCCTGATCCTCGTACTTCAACTGGAAGGAACCGCATTGCCGTCAACCCGACGTGGTTTACTCTCTGCTATGCAATTATGAAATAGTACCTCCTGATAGTACTAATAATACAATATTGCTGCTCTGCAAGCCTTCTGCATGGTATTCTGTCGCAGAGCTGTGCGTTTCTGTCTTACAGAACATATCACCTAGCATGCCCTTACAATTTTTTATCTTCTAAACAACCAAAGGCAACTGCAAGCCTTCAGTAAAATCAACTGCAGTAACCCGACTTCTGCATGATGCTGCATAACCAGTGACATTGTCCACAATTAACATGTCCGACATTTCTAAAACTGAGTGTCTAGTTATTTTTCATTAATATCACAGTAAACAACATATACAGTACAACAAAGGCATAATTCAGTAATGCTGATAGCTGCTAGTCTGCTATCTTGAATTTGAAAGGATTCAGATATTTGTTCTCTGTTATAGTCAAATCCTTGAACCTGTGGTCTCCAGTTACGCGGCAACAACGTCATTTTGGATTGGCCTTACTATCGATGACATTGTCATTTAGCGTGCTGAGATTCATAAGCGAATAACCCGTGGCAGTGACCGTCGGGCTGCAGAACTTACTTAAAAAAGTGTTGCAGAGCAGACTTTTACCTGGACAGCAGTGAATTGCTGCTGCACAGCACGCAGAGCCTTCTTCTTGTCTTCATCCTTCCTCTCCAGCTCGACCTCCAGCTTCTTGATTCTCTCTTCGAGGAACCTGACACGTGATGAGGCCTCCGGGGAAGAGACGGAGGATGCTGCCGCATTCGCTGCCATGATGAGAGAGGCCACCGAGTTGGGGTTTCGTTTACGCATGATGACCTCCATCTCCTTTATCTGAAGATAAGGGGATGCTTACGTCATTACACTCGCACGTGCACTCACGCACCTACGAACTCACGTACTCACGCACGTAAGAACTCACGCATGCACGCACGTACATACTCACGCATGCTCACACGCACATACACGCACACGCACACATACACGCACACATACACACATGCACACACACACACACAAGCACAGGCACGCACGCACGCACGCACGCACGCAGGCACACACACACATAACATATTACAAAGGTATACTTAAACTGAAATGTTCCACATTTCTGGAGGTAGGAATCACAATAACTGGACAGAGGGTAGATTTCCATGAATAGATAATGTGAATCGTAAATAACTAGTAAAGATGGTTAAAATATTGAGAGTGCATCCATATTCAACTACCTGTCTTTGAAGATCTTGGATTTTTCGTGCATTCGCAGATCTCTCTTTGGCGCCAACCTTCTGTGTTTCTGCCCTGCTGCTGTACACCTAAAACGAAGATTTTATTTAAAGTTCATAAATGTAATTTTACACATATTTCTTGCACCAATCAATCAAACTATTTGACAAATAACAAAACATTTCCGACAAAAAACACTATCAGCACCGCTCAGTGGATTTTCCACTTTACGTGGAGTGTCGAACGAGTATACGCACAATTATGACCAAGTATTGTTAATTAAAATTGTTAATTAGATGGAGAAATGCATACGTACCTCAGCCTCCTGTCTCAGTCTGTCCTGCAGATGAGCAATCTCTTTATCCTTGTCGAGAAGTGTCTGTGCATCTTTATCAACAAGCTGCTGGTTTTCTGCATACCAGCACAGCTTCTTCCGCAGGCTCTCTGCCTCCCGCCTTGCTTCAACGACTCCTGCCTACACGTCACAGCGCAGAGAGCAAACATAAATACTATTTAGGTCTACAACTGGGTAGGTCCTGCTATATGCCTGTGGGACAATATATCAGTATGGCATACACAAGAGGAATGGGAGGCTGGGGCTATTAATGCATGGTGAAATCTTCGTTAGCTTTCACTCCCGAACCTCATTCTCAATACTACATTCACTTCTTGCTCCTAAATTAAGTGCAGAAACCACCCGACTAAACGATCGAGATTGTGCCGCTACAAAAATACAACACGGAGAGCCTGAGCAGGAAAGAGATCATATACTCTCCAGCAGACAACCACAATCAACAAACACCTACAATATCAGGAGTAAATAATCACAAATACTTGTAATTATTTACTCCTGATAATATGACTCCACCGGGAATGCTGGATGAACAATGGGTGGGCGGTGCAGGTGGGAGTAACTCACCTCAGCTGTTAGAAGCTGCTGCCGAGTCGCAGCATCCAGCCTGCCATCGCGTACGACGGTCCTCTCAGCAGCTTCCTGCATCAGCTTCCTCCGCGAAGCAACCTGCTCCTTCTGCTCACTGCAATAAAAACTTGCATTTTAAACGGCACATCTACATCGTCTACCCACATTCGTCTACGCGAAAAGGTGTCGAAATTGTTCAGCGTCGAAATCATCGTACTAGTGCCGGTCGTTGTTATCGTTCGCTCTTTGTCCGTAGAGATGTGCGTCGATCTTTGCATGCATGCGTTATGTGTCCCGGCTTTTGCATCCATCTTTTGCATGCGCACCCCGGCCCCAATGATGTCACCTTTAATATGATGCCGGTGGTCAGAACATGACAGAAGTAATCCACAGCAAGCACTTTCTTCACTTCTTCCCAGATTGATGTAAGAAGGGGCAAGAAGGATGCGTATTATAACGCGTGAAAGATATATGTATATGTGGGGAAACGCTGACGTACCTTATGAGAGCCAGCTGCTGCTGCAGCCTCTGATTTTCCTCGAAAAGCCTTCTCTCAGCTTGTTTATTTTCCAGTTTCAGCTCCTTCAACTACCACATAAAAAGTACAGGCATAAAATACCAACCCAAAGGTGAATGTACTATGCACGAATTACAGTGAGGAGTAGATGTATCAAGTTAATTATATAACATATCAAAATTTTATTAAAAATCTAGCATACTTTGCGCCTACCTCAGCATATAATTTTTCATTTTCTTTTTGAAATCCTCTCAAGAGTACCTCCTGGTTGCGCATCTCTATTTCGAACTGTTTCACTTGTTCATTACCAGGCGAGCCCTCCACCTTTGATGAGCGCATTTTAAATGCTTTAGATTCTAAATCTGATATCTGAAAAATATCAGCACCAGAATTACAGCACCGCTCTCTTAGAACTGGTTCGAGCAACACACGTGACATTAATAATGAGGCAATTAGTAATGTATATATTTAATACAATAAATTAAAGTTACTATTTACTACAAATCGCACCTTTGCAGTTAAAACGAAATTCTCTTGCTTGAGCCTGGAAATTTCTTCCTCAAGTTTTCGCTTATTCTTTGTAACAGCAGTGGACGCTTGAATGCCAATCTCCTTTCCTGTTGCCATCACTTTCACATTATTATAACGTTCTTCAAGCCCCCCCACATAATTCGATCAACTTTTCTAAACTATACACAACACATCGCTTCCAGTGGAATATGCAGCATTTTCTCAGTTAGGCAGCATAAGATCTCTAGTACCGTTTTGTTCAAACCCGCTATGCGAAGGTGTCTAGGAAATTGCGATTATAGTTACATGCCTTATATCAGGGGTTAATAATGACAACTTTGTCCTTATTAACCCCTGCTTATATGTATACCTTATGTGTACATACCTTTTACAACAGTGGGTTTTCCTCGATTGCCTACTGATACCTTGTCATCTCTGTCGCATTCCTGAGATGAGAAAGACAGCATTGCACGTGTATGAGAGGCTATTTTATAGCATTTTAGACCTAAATGTATCTTCATTGTTTAAATCCATCTATTCCATCTATCTAATAATAAAGTTGTCATGCATTTACTGATCTCAATTCTTTACAAAAATGTTCGAAATGTTTACATTTATTTATGATCAGGTTAATACCATACAGACTCTAGCATTACTGCGAAAGCTTAATGGATGTTATTGAGCTATGAAAACGATATCATTAGACACTACCGTAATATGTCTTGATTCTTGATTATCTGAATGCACCTCCTTGTGAAGTTTCACTGTTGACCACTGAGCAATGAGGTCTCCACCTGTCTCCGTAGAAACTGGAACATGCTCACTTCTTTCGCCGACTCTAAAGAGATACAAGCAGTAAACATAGTCATGGAATAAATGCATATGGTCATGCAGTAAATGCATTCATTATATACAAAACTACAGTTTAATGCAACGAAAAACAGTAGATAAACTAAACAAATAATGCGATTTAACTACTTCTATGTGATATATGCTTAGAAGTTAAGAACGATACAGAACGTTAAAAACTTTCAGTATTTTATGGCTATACAAACACAAGATAGTTGCGATAATTAGTCTGGATACTAGCTTTAATTAATGATGACCGTATACTAATCACTGACCCCTGAGACGCTGCAAGGAGGTGTTCCTTTGTGACCGTGCTCCCCCTCTCTCTCGTAGACAACTTCTTGCTAGTCGACTCTGAGCTGCTGCTGCTGCTGCTTTGGGAAATATTGTCGATTTCCCCGCTAGATGGCGCATGTTCGCTGCTAGGGCTGCGGCTGCCTGGTCTGCACTCCCCGGCAGTACCCTCATCTGACAACACGCAAACACCTGCTCGTGAGTAGCACGGCTCGTCATCACCGCACATAAAATACTACGTACCGCATTAGAGAGGAGGCGATATCCGAGCTGCTAACGAGATAAATTACAGGATATTTCTCAGCTGCCTCGGGTGATAAGAAATGTTATATGTATCATAACACGGGTGAATTACTATTATTGTTATATATAGGCTAAATAATAAAGTAGCTGTGTATAACCATACCTGCTATGCCCGCATACCCGTATTTTTCTATCTCGTCAACTTCACGGAGAATATCATCAACACACCTTTCGGTGGTGCCTGCGAGAGCACAAAATGACGGCCAGAGGTGAACGAACAAGGATCAAGGTGTGTTAGGTTATATCACTTGCCTGTGTTATTGTAAACATCTGTAAAACAGGGGTGCAGATCGAGTGTAGACATGGCGGGGGTTTTGAGAAGACAAAGAGCTAGGGGTTGTGTGTGTGATTGGTTAGGAAGGGTTTGGAGATGTGTGTGATTGGTGGAAGTTTTGCATATATATAGGGTTTTGAAGAACAGTTGAGGAGTTCTGGCATCCTCAAGATAGCGTGTACCGTGTAGACCTGTATCAGTTGTAAACAATGTATTCTTTTGGTGAACACAAATTATATGCTTTGACTTTGATTATTTCTACTCCTAATTATTCATTCAAATCACTTAGTGTAACTTCAACGCTACATTAGCTCATATTCCATGCTTGGTTTAGCAAGCAGTGAAAGTGCAACACGATTAACTGTTTGAGTATGCTATGAATATGGCTTCACTCGTGAGCAAGGTGATTAATTTTACTCTACTCAAAATAAACCATACAAATTAAGCAAGACAAATTTCGGTTGTGAGTGTAAATCGCAACATGTTAAACATGCAGTACACATGAAATGTGCCCGAGATCGTGCAGCACTTCCTTTCACTATATTCAAATGTTTCTAACCCTCACCACTTTTAAAGAACATTTACCAATCATTACCTCTGTCTACAACCTCGTCGTCGGACCCACTCCCGATCGAGGAAAGGCCAGCATCTCTGAGAGCCACTTTCAGAACTTCCAGCTCATTTCGCGCCGCATCTGCAAAACGGTTCATGTATCAGAATGCCGCTAGAAACATTTTACAATAGTGGCAATTACGCGTACGAAGATTACACACGCGTTTCTGTTCAATAGATTCACATACTCTGGTGTAGCTGCATTAATTGTTACTGAAGTGTCGTTAAGATCGGACTAGACATACCCTCATATATACTATCACCATCCGGTCCAGCCCTGCCAGCAAAATTCTGTGCACTTAATTGTTGTCCATGAGCAGTTGTGTTTAACGTAGACTCTAAAGAATCTAGCAGGACTACCCTCGACAGAATAGTTTTCTTCTCTCGATTAATACTCTCACCTGCAAGAAACATGCAGTGATGTTGGTATCTCATTATTAATACAATAGTAACGTGTTACTTAGATGACCTGCAGCTTTTGGTCAGTACCAAACAGGTAATATCATATTATTTAATATTGCATATGAGTTTGTATCTTGTAAATCACCTGCAAAATGAAAACGTTTTTTTCTGCATTTTTGGGTACGATGGTTAACATTTGTGTACTCTTCCCAGGCACACACCTACACACATGCACTCACAAATGCACACACGCACACACGCAAACAAACATACACAAACAAACAGACTACAGGACTCCACTTACCTTTTTCCGACAGATCTGGAACAGACATCAGTGTACTGGACACTGTGGACAGGTTTATTTGTTTGTTCATCTCACCATAGTTTGGAGAATTTTCGGAGTCATTTCCCTTCAATTCCTGCAATGAAGTGTTGACAATATCATCATAAATTTGTATGGCAGCTGCTCATTTTAGTCAAATGTATGAAGTAAATGAGAAAAAATCGAGTCGACCTTTTCGCTGATACTGAGGAATTTACCGTGTAAAACATTGAGAACCAGATTGTTATATGTTAGGAGAATTCACTGCATAACCAGTGTTTGAACTCTCAAAGCTAGCACTCTAAGCACTGTATCACTGTAGCCGACTCATTCCAATTAAGTAGTAAAACCTCGCAAACAGCATATATTGAACATGGACAATATATAGAACACATATGACATATAAACACATATATGTAGAACACAAATTGATTAAATATCATTCGTTTTTATCCAATGTCACCTTTGTGAGCATATTCATAAATTTAAATATTCAAAATCATAATTACGTATATATTATTACCTTAAAAAAAGCCATTTTATCTGCCTGTTCTGTTAGGCTGTCAGCATCAGGAACATTGCTGGCTGTATCACCTAGTTGATTACTGATTTCCCCTATCGAATGTGAAGATTCGGCAGGTGCTATTCTACTGGCCTTCATAAACATCTTGGTTCTAGTGCCACGACCTACAGAAAGTTCAACGATCGATCATAGGACATCACTTCTAAATTAAGCTTTTTTGTATACGTACATAAAAAAAAACAATACTCTAGAATTTTTTAATATATTATGATACTCATTGGTTAAAAAATCATATATACCTATATATTTCTGTTATTAGCTTGTTCGGTTTCGTATTAAAACATCACCCAGTTTCAAGATCAACATAAACACTAACATAACTTTATAACATAACCTTAAGATAGGAATTCTCTTCCTTCATCATTGATAAATTGCAAAATTGCAACTTTTTCCACTGCGATCCGCAATGTTGATCTATCGATTTGATCCACTTCTCTCTCCGTCTTCGTTATAGTCCCTAGGACTTTTGAAGACTAACATTTATGAGGTAACAATTTTGGGCAATGCTACCCTGATAAAATTGCACTATGCCATTTTTAATTAGAATGTTTCAGAGCTAATTATAACAAGTGTCGGTGATCGGCCGGAGAGAGAGAGAGAGAGAGGAAAAGACAGACAGACAGACAGAGAGAGATGGCAACATACCTCGGTGATCGGCCGCGCCGCCTCTATGCTTAACCAGGCTGGTAGGCATCATAGACTGACGCCGTGTCCTCGACGGGGACATCACAGGAGAAGTCTGGGTCTGTGCGCCGATGCTCGTCACCTGCTGTCTGCGCCGATGCACCAAGTCCTCCAGGTGTTCTGCCTGATCCTCGTACTTCAACTGGAAGGAACCGCATTGCCGTCAGCCCGACGTGGTTTACTCTCTGCTATGCAATTATGCAATAGTACTAATAATACAATATTGCTGCTCTGCAAGCCTTCTGCATGGTATTCTGTCGCAGAGCTGTGCGTTTCTGTCTTACAGAACATATCACCTAGCATGCCCTTACAATTTTTTATCTTCTAAACAACCAAAGGCAACTGCAAGCCTTCAGTAAAATCAACTGCAGTAACCCGACTTCTGCATGATGCTGCATAACCAGTGACATTGTCCACAATTAACATGTCCGACATTTCTAAAACTGAGTGTCTAGTTATTTTTCATTAATATCACAGTAAACAATCATATACAGTACAACAAAGGCATAATTCAGTAATGCTGATAGCTGCTAGTCTGCTATCTTGAATTTGAAAGGATTCAGATATTTGTTCTCTGTTATAGTCAAATCCTTGAACCTGTGGTCTCCAGTTACGCGGCAACAACGTCATTTTGGATTGGCCTTACTATCGATAACATTGTCATTTAGCGTGCTGAGATTCATAAGCGAATAACCCGTGGCAGTGACCGTCGGGCTGCAGAACTTACTTAAAAAAGTGTTGCAGAGCAGACTTTTACCTGGACAGCAGTGAATTGCTGCTGCACAGCACGCAGAGCCTTCTTCTTGTCTTCATCCTTCCTCTCCAGCTCGACCTCCAGCTTCTTGATTCTCTCTTCGAGGAACCTGACACGTGATGAGGCCTCCGGGGAAGAGACGGAGGATGCTGCCGCATTCGCTGCCATGATGAGAGAGGCCACCGAGTTGGGGTTTCGTTTACGCATGATGACCTCCATCTCCTTTATCTGAAGATAAGGGGATGCTTACGTCATTACACTCGCACGTGCACTCACGCACCTACGAACTCACGTAC